CATAATATTCATTAAAAATTAGGAGTCCCCATTAAAAAAAATAAAGTTAATCTCGTTTTCACCGACAATAGCGGTATCTATGATGAAACAGATAGCGCCATTTACTGCCCGAAACAAATAAATTTGATCTAGAACAATTTTTTCGTAAAATGCATATTTCTCGAGATATTTAGATGTTTAAAGTTAAATGCCTCATTCTATATAATAGGTGTGTTATATAACAGTTACATCGTTAAGTACGAAATTATAACTAACAGTTATGTAATAGTAATTTGGTGTTTGCTGGGATTACATGTGTTTGCTATCTAGTTAAGTAATAATCTATTTTACGATATTTCTTAAGCTTTCTCAGATATTCATTAGACGTTATTTAAGATATCTGTAGGATACCACATAAATGGATATTATATATCTGCTGGATATTCAACGGATATCTGATACCATTTTAGAATATCCTCTGTTGCTAAATCCCGAAATGATATCTGTAAAATGTCCCTTAGATAAAGTGTATTGTGTGAGTTCTTTGTTTCTTATTATCATTTTTTCTTTCAACATGGAATAAATCTTCCTCTCTTTTACTACTAGAATTTGACCTGTTTTCGAGTGTAATGACATTCTTGCAGTATAAATAATCTACTTCTTTCAAAAATAGTTCTTTATACAATCAGAGTGAAGCGTTGCGTAACTAGTTTATTACAACTAGTTCATCAATTGCGCGTTCATTATAAACGCGTAATATTCCTAGAATATTATAAGAATATTATTAAATATTAAAATAAAATTCTTGTAATATTTCATATTCTTATAATATTTTAAGAATGTAATATTTTTTAATATTATAAGAATATTCTATTAATATTATATGTCCATTTCACATAATATTCTTGACATATTATAAAAACGTTCTTAGAATATTAAGAAAAAACAAAATAATAATATAAAAAAATATATATAAATAAAACAAATATATATATGTATGTATATTTAATTTTCTTACTATAAAACGTATTTTTACACAAAATTATTTCGATTTTATTTATATAATAAAACATTTGATATTGCAATATATTTGAAATAAAAAATTACAATTACACACATACACACACATGTGCGCGCACACACGCACGCACGCACGCAC